TGCTCTTTCTAAATATTTCTAATTTTTATATATTCAAATTTTAGATAGAGATTATGAATTTTTTAAAGTATATGTCTTATAATTCAAGACATTGTTGATATTTGCATTATGCTTAATAGTCACATTTTTAATAATTATTTGGACTTATTTTTAGGCTTCTGATTTCATTGTTCATCTTTGATGAAAATAGTATGACTTCCTCATTTTTGAATGTGTTATAGTATTTCTTCGAGCAATGATTTTTCATTTTTGTTTTTTTGTTTTTTTTTTTTTGAGACAGAGTCTCACTCTGTAACCCAGGCTGGAGAGCAGTGGGACAATCTTGGCTCACTGCAACTTCTGCCTCCTGGGTTCAAGCAGTTCTCCTGACTCAGCCTCCCAAGTAGCTGGGATTACAGGCACACACCATCATACCCTGCTAATTTTTGTATTTTTAGTAGAGATGGGGGAGTTTTGCCATGTTGGTCAGGCTGGTCTTGAACTCCTGGCCTCAAGAGAATCGCCCACCTTGGCCTCCCAAAGTGCTAGGATTAGATTACAGGCGTGAGCCACCATGCCTGGCCCTTTGAGAAATGTTTGAAAGAAGAGTATACACGTGGAACTCTATTTGAAGGCTTTAATTCCTGAGGATGACTTTCAGTTGCTTTCACTTTACTGTTTTATTAGATATCAAACTCTTAGGACACCCAGAAAGATGGAGTGGATGTATTTTTCCCTATTCCTCATGTCAGAAAACCAAAACCGAACAAACAAAAACCTAAATTATCAAGAGATATAATAATTTAATGCAGCATTTTTAAAAATAAAAATTATGCAAAAATCTATGATGGAAAAAATATAAAAATTTGAAATAGAGTTTGACAGGGTAAGATTAGGGTGAGGTGAGTCATACAGGTGCAACATCAGATCTCCCCAATTCAAAATTTTAGTATTTCATCCAGCATGAATTATAATTCATTACATTTAATTCTTATTTTTAAAAATTGCAGTAAATACTGTTTCTCTTGATTACTGAATTTTCTGGTATTCACTAAAATTTTGCACCTCAGGACCTTATTCACCTTACTTTGGTCCTGGATCTGCTTAGAACACATTTTTATCCTCAAAACTCCCTAGGTTTTGCTTTTATGTAGTGGCTGTCACATCTGCTTTCACACTAGAATCTATATGTTATTAGATGACTCTAATATCCACACTTTCCTCAGACAAGTTTAACCAGACTCTCCATTAGTGAAACAGAATTTTAAAAAGCTTTCAGGGGGATTCTAATGTACAGTTGGGGTTGTAAACTGAAACCTATTTTTTTTTACTTCTATCGAGTTCAGTGATAAAGAATATTGATCATCTAGTCAGAATGTATCAGTTCAGCTCTTGGCTTTGTGTCCTTGAGTAAGTTATTCAGCATTTCTGATATTCAAACTCCCATCTCATGGCATTGTCCTGAAGATTCAAGGAAAAAGCACATGCAAACCCTAAGCACAGTGCCTGGATCTTAGCAAAGCATAAATGCTGGCCATTAAGACATTGCTTATGCTGGCCAGGCACTGTGACTCACGCCTATAATCCCTTTGGGATTATACCACTTTGGGAGGCCGAGGCAGGTGGCTCATTTGAGGTTAAGAGTTCAGGACCAGCCTCACCAACATGGTGAAACCCCATCTCTACTAAAAATACAAAACAATTACCTGGGTGTGGTGGCACATGCCTTTACTTCCAGCTGCTCGGGAGGCTGAGGCAGTAGAATTGCTTGAACCCAGGAGATAGAGGTTGGACTGAGGCAAGATTGCACCACTGCACTCCAGCCCCTGGGAGACAGAGACTCTGTCAAAAAAAAAAAAAGATATTGCTGATGCTAAAGATGGAAACAGGAAAAAGGAGTATCTGTGATTTAGTATTGTGGAGGATAATATTTTCCCAGTATGAAATCTTTTGCCACATCCTTTGAAAAAAACGTAATTGTTTCCAGAGGATTTGCCTGCATGTCTGTCTTTGTTGACTTATTCTGCCTCACATTCAGTGAGCCTATTTGCTTTAATAACACAAATGCTTTTAGTTCCAGCTTATCCAAACTGCAGCCCACAGGCTGCATGTGGCCCAGGGCAGCTTCAAATGCAGCCCAACACAAATGATTTTTGGCATTTTTTTTTTTAGTTCAACAGCTATCATTAGTATTAGTGTCTTCTATGTATGGCTCAAGACAATTATTCTTCCAGTATGGCCTAGGGAAGCCAAAAGATTGAACTCCCCTGCTTTAGTTGAATCCACTTTTTTTCTATTACGTCTTTGGTTACTTTCTCACTCCCTGTTTTGTTTTCTCCTTCTGATAATATCTAAAACTCTCTTTCTCACTAAATCTGTAATCTTTTTTTCTTTTAACTTCTTGGAGAAGGGTTTTAATTTTGTCTTTTTTATATAAAAATACATATGCACAGTTTTACAAGTCAAAACTATAAACTTTTGAAAAACATGGCAGTATCTCATGAATTACTTGTATTTATTCTCTTCAGAAGTCACTTTAAAGTATTATATTCTGGCATTACCTTTTTAAATAGCAAGTTTTGAAATAGACATTTTCATGGTTTTTGTTTATTTTTTGAATATGTAACACATTAACTTTGTTCAAAAGTTAAATACAAATTTTTAGATTCTTCATATGGATCTTAGTAATAATTTCCTAGATATAACAGACACAAAAAGCACAGTCAACAGAAGTAAAAATAAACAAATGGTACTACGTTAACCTAAAAAGCTGCTGCACAGCAAAGAAAACAATTAACAAAATGAAGAGGCAGCCTATGGAATGGGAGAAAATATCTGCAAGTCATACATCCGATTAAAAGTTAGCGGTAAAATATATGAGTTAGTTCTAGGACTCAATAGCAGAAAAACAATCTGACTTTTAAAATGGGCAGAAGACCAGAGAGACACTTCTTAAAAAAACATAAACAATCAGAAACAGGTATATGAAAAAGTACTCAATATCACTAATGAGGAGAAATGCAAATCAAACCACAATGAAGTAATACTTCACACATTTTAGGATGGCTATTGTCAAAAGCATAAGAAATAAGTGTTGGGTAAGATGCAGGGGCAGGGAACCCCTTGCACACCTTTTCTGGAAATACAAATTAGTATAGTCACTATGAAAAACAGTGCAGCAGTTCCTCAAAAACTTAAAAAAAAGAACTACCAGATAATCCAGCAATCCCACCTCTTGGTATATACTCTGCAAAACAGAAACCAAACTCTCAAAGAGCTATCTACACATTCACATTCTTTGTGGCATTATTTACAGTAGCAAAGGCATAGAAACAAATGTCCATGAACAGATAAATGGACAAAGAAAATGTGTTACGTACATACAATGGAATATTATTTAGCTTCAAAAAGGGGGGTTGGCTTAATGCTTAAAAAAGAAGGAAATCCCTTCATTTGCCACAACGTGGATGAAGCTGGGAGACATCATGTTAAACAAAATAAACCAGACACAGAAGAACAAATATTCTATTATCTCGCCTATATCAGGAACCTAAAATAATAAACTTATAGCAGAGATCAGACATACAAGTTTCTTTTACACAAGTTTCTCTTTTAGGTGGAAGTTTTCCTCCCATTCCACTCCCATCTGCCCACCACCACTGTTACTGCCCACAACATTTAATTACATTTATTGTATTTTGTGTACCTTACCTTCCACAGTTTTCTTTTTTCATGCAAGTAAAAGCAAATATAATATGTATTTTTCTCTCTCTGGAAACGAACTTGGGCATCACTGTTTCTCTTTGCTGCAATATATTCTCAGCCCCTCCCTGCCATTACTACACAATTGTGTTCTTATCTCAAGTTGCATTTCCCTCTCTTCTGACTGGTTATTTAATAGTTTTCTAAATCCTATCAAGAATATTAATTCCAGACTTTCTTAAGTTTATTGCCAGACATATTTCACATAATAACTCTGTTTCTTGAGAGGATATTGTTTCTGATTCCTTAAAACCTTTAGAAGACATATTTTAAATTTATGTGCCTGGCAATTTGTGTTCATTTGCTCATTCCCACAGAAAGAAAATTTTGTGTTTTACCTTTTTGGAAAACTAAGAAATATTTTTAAGGCATTGAGTGGTTTATATAAAGAAAGAAGGAAAAATATTAACTTTTCTGTAATTTTATTTCACTAACACAAATCTTCAGAAAATAGAAATAATGAAGGAGTCGGAGCTAGAGGCAGTCACCTGGGTTCCAAAGAATTCCTCTTCTTGTTTGTCACTGGTTTTTCAGCTTGTTCTGAGACTCCCACCTCCCCTCGGCATACTGCCTCTTCAAATTCCCTGGTTATTGCCTGATTCTACTTTCAGACATCAAGGTAAGAGAGAGTAAGTATGTTCATGGCATCCTTACTCCAAGTGACCTTCAGTGCTACTAGGACAAAACTTTTCCTATAAATGCTGTGTTATGGACTGACCTTAGCTGTGGTGCTTAGAAACTGGTGAGATTCTGCTGAAAAAATGCTATCTTCTCATGCAGTGAATTGTGACTTGTAGAATTTTTCTTCAATCTGCCCCATTTCTGAGATGTCTTGCAGAAATTCCTCAAGATTTTTAGCATGCATATGACATTCTTAAATAGTCCCTTGCACAGGTATTTCTTCTTTTTCTCTTTTGTTTTGTATTGCTGTGTCAGTTCAAACTGCAAGATGTCTCAGAAATGGGGCAGATTGAAGTTTTGTTTTTTTTTTTAGAAGCAGAACTGGACTTTATTGCAGCCACAGGGAAAACTGCTAGGGACAGAGCCATGGCCCCTGACCATGTCCACCGCCCCAGAAACTGCTCTTGCACGTGGTATCAGGGGCAAACAAATCACAAGTGCACAAATCTGTGATGGGTTTCCCAACTTTGATGAGTGCCAGGTGGTGTGCACATTTGGGAAGATGTCCCATCGTGGCTCTGAAGGCTCTTGCCCGGGGAGGCTGCGCTCAGCTGCCCACTCCTTCTGGAATTCAAACCCCAGGCAAAGGCAGCCAGCCCCAGGCCAGAGAGGTCCTGGCTTCCCAACTTTGAGCTGTGCAGTCATCACCTTGGTGCAGGCTGGGCTACAGGGACAGCCAAGATGACAAAGACCAGGTCCCCGCAGCCTAGACTGGGGCACGGCTTCTCAGCCTCACTCCCTGCTGTGCTGTGCTGTGCTTTGTCTGTCAGACGGCGACGCTTGGCCCTGCTGGTGCGAGAGGCCCCTGGGGGCTTCTTGGAATCCTGGGCCCTGTGGGAATGTTTCCTCTTGACCTTTTTGCGGCTGTGTGCGTGCAGTGCTGCTGTGAGGGAGGAGATCCGCTGAGAGAGCAGGGGGTCTCTGGACTTCCTGGGCAAGGCTTTGGTGGGCTTCTCCATGGATGATGCCTCCTTCTCAGACCTGTCTCCAGCCCCTCCCTCAGGTGGGGTCAGCCCAACCAGCTGAGCCCCCGAGAGGTCCAGGTCACTGATGGTGGTCACGGTGACTGTGTGGTTGGGGTGGTCGTGCCGCACCGACTCCGCCTTTGCTGTCACCAGCCGGTCCAGCTCATCGGCCTCCTCCAGTGCCTCTTCTCTCTCTGCCAGCATCTTCAAGTATTCCTGGTGGCGCTCCTCCTGAAGCCTCCTCTGCTCCTCTTTCAGCCATTGCTTAATCTCCTCAATGGCCGCCTTCTTCCGCTCGACCTTCCGCTTGTGGAAGCCTGTCGGGTACTCCCGCCTCTTCTACTTGTCGAAGCTGAGAACTAGCCTGGGCCACCGCTCGTCACTATCTCGCTTCTTCTTCTTGTTGCGGCCCATAGCGGTGAGGCCACCACCTTCTGGATGAAAGTGGAGGATAGATGTGTGCTTTCCACACTTACCACTTAGAACCCACAGTGACTTTCTTAGTTTTCCTCTATCTAGATGTGTATTCTTTAGTCACAGTATGTAAGATGAACATTTAAGCTTCTGTGTTGACATCATGGAAGGCAGCTTTGATCTCCCACAGAAAGTCAGTCCCCTGATAGCCACACTGCTAGTGAAGTGTGAGGATGGGTTTAATGCTACATGCAACTTTTGACTCCATTAGGCATATTCATACATGGGGAAGTTTAATTATTTGCCACACGTATCTTAAGAACTTCCATTATCATCCATTAATTTTCCCCCCGTCTCCCTCTGTGTAAATAATTTCAAATTTCTTCTCTGAGTCTTCTCTAAGGGCCCTCACTTCATTGTCACTTCCCAATTTATCATATCTCTCACTTAATTCACAAACATTTTTATTCATCCATTTCTTCTTTGCCTGAGTGTTTACTGAATACAGGGAATAGTATTAGAGAGTGAAAATTGAGCCTATTTCCATATCCTCAGGGATCCCACGGGATTAATCTCAGATGTTAGGAAGATGCTGCAGATGGAGAATCTTATGGAAATAAGAGGAGGGGAAGACGATGAGGATGATAGTGTGCACGTCTCTAGCGTCTGCACTTTGTGCAATCTCGTTTACACTGACCACGCAGTGATGATAGTGAGAGATAGTTTTAAATGTTTGTTATTTAACATAGGTTTTGTGCTAAATTTAATATCCATTAACTTAATGTCATGATTACCTATGCAATATTCATTGTCATATTCCAATTTTACAGGTGAAGGAAATGAAGTATAAGGATGTCACAAACTTTGTTTAAAGTGACATAGTTGAGTCTGCTTGGACTGTGGTTCAAGCCATGCAGCCTGACTCTAGAACCCATGCTTTGCACCTGACTCTCCAGACCCAGGAGGCAAATACCATAATCAGCTCATTTTTCAGAGGTGTAGGATCTGAGGCCCAAAATAAGTAGCGAAATTGGTACTTGAACTTCTGTCTGTCTTCCAACTACATTTCCACCTCGAAATTCCCAAATTCAGATCATTTTAGATTTAAGAACTAGAAATGGCCTTGGAGATTATATTATTAAATAATCCCTCATTTTACAGATAATCTGTAATCACTAAAATCGTTTACCTAAAGCAATCAGAAGCAGGTTCTATACAGCAAAGCAACTTAATATACTAAGGAAAATTATTATTTGAAATATTATTTCTCTCTTTTTTTTGGGACAGAGGTTCATTTTTGTCCCCCAGGCTGGAGTGCAGTGGCACAATCTCAGCTCAGTGCAACCTGCACCTTCCTGCATTTATCCTCCCGACTGTCTGGCATTACATCCACCTTCAAGCAGTTCCCTGCCTCAGCCTCCCAACTATCTGGCATTACAGGCGCCTGCCACCACACCCAGCTAATTTTTGTATTTTTGGTAGAGACGGGGTTTCACTATGTTGGCCAGGCTGGTCTCAAACTCCTGATCTCAGGTACCACACGCCTCTGCCTCCCAAAGTGCTTGGATTACAGGTGTGTGCCACCAGGCCTGGCCAACATATTATTTCTATTTAATATTTAAAAAAACAAGATGAGGCCAGGCACGGTGGCTCACGCCTATAATCCCAGCACTTTGGGAGGCCGAGGCGGGTGGATCATGAGGTCAAGAGATCGAGACCATCCTGGTCAACAAGGTGAAACCCCATCTCTACTAAAAATACAAAAATTAGCTGGGCATGGTGGTGTGTGCCTGTAGTTTCAGCTACTCAGGAGGCTGAGGCAGGAGAATTGCTTGAACCCAGAAGGCAGAGGTTGCGGTGAGCCAAGATCGTGCCATTGAACTCCAGTCTGGGTAACAAGAGCGAAACTCCGTCTCAAAGAAAAAAAAAAAAAAAAACAAGATGAGTAATCTAATTCTTAATGGCAACACAGCTCTTGCTCAACACCTGAAACACCTCATTGTTTCTCTGCAACAAGAGGAAAACTTGGGAAAGGATTCTGTAGGCACTGAGACCATCATAAGGAACTACAGCATCCAGAGATTTTCATGAAAGTGAAAATGCTCATACGAAATCAAAACAAATGGTCTTCAGTGTGGCGTCCAGTAAACCATCCTCTGAAAAGTGACCACAATTCTGTATGATTCTTTCCAGGACAGTGAATTGGAGCCAGCTGATGTATGGCGCTTACCTTGGTTGTCACCTTCTGGTCTCTGTTTGAGGACCAACTGCATGTGATTAAGGGTGACAGATACAGAGTTTGTGTTAAGCCCAGGATGTAACTTGTTGAATGAATAGCAATTGACTTGAAAATTGGATGGATGGATTGAGTTTCTTCACTCTCTCTCTTTTTTCTTTCTCTCAACAGGGCAGGATTAAATCATCTTTAGTCAAATCAGTGCTTGCTGTTTTCAAAAAGGATATTCTTGAGGTATAGTACTTCAGAGATGCTAATTTAGATTTGAGCAGGATGAAATTTTTATCTAGACATGTGCATCATATAATTGTGAGGGCAAAAAATGGTTCCAAATGGGGGTGTGTTTGTGTTCCTAGGCGTTTTCCTATAAGGCCAAAAAGATGAAAAATGTTCTTTTCTAAAGCTCTTGGTGGTTCTCAAGCTTGTCTGCCAATAGAATCACCTGGAGAATTTGGAAGACCAAAAAATACTGATGCCACTGATTCTACCCAACAGATTCTATTTTGATTGGTGTGGAGTATGGCCTGAGCAGTGATGTTTTTTAAAGCCTCGGAGGCAATCCTAACGTGCAGCAAAGCACCATCAAGCCCCCTCTCTCTGAGGAGGCACCAGCTGCAAGCATGTTTTACACCAATATATTTGCTGAATATAAACATCCCAGTGCAAACTCTTGCACCCAAGAACTCCGCGCTGCTTGTGGACAGTCTTTGGCAAAGTCCGAATTTGTAAACTGATAATACGTATAATTCCATGGGCTCCATATGGTTCGTGTTATCTTGAGGGGAACTATACACATTTGCCTTGCCCCAGGATGGAAAGATAAATAACAGATGTGGATAATTTTTGTCATACTTGTCCTGAACAATAATCTAAAAATTAGAAATGAAAGGAGCAGAGAGATAAGTAAAACTCATGAAAACAAAGTTCGAATCAATTATTCTAGGTTATATTTTTGCATTTTTAAGAATCCAAATACATAGTAGTAGGTCAGAAAAAACCTGTCATACACTTCTCCTTTTCTATTTCTAGAGTGATGAGATATAGTGTTAACATTGTATGTTGATAATAGTAATACAAACTAAAATCTACATATAGCTTACTGTGTAACAAACGGTGTTCTAAGCACTATACAAGCATTAACTTAGTCAACCTTCATTATAATCCTGAGATAAATACTATTATTTTTCCTATTTTACAGATGAAAAAACTGAGACCCCTAGAATTTAAGTAATTTGTCAAGGCAACACACTGCTATGTGGTAGAACTACAAATTGTGCCCAAATAATCCAGCTTCAGATACTATGCAAAGGTGTCCTAGGTGTGCAGGTGATAACCTGGTGACAATCTCTTCTCAGAAGGAAGACAGGTCTTGTCTACAGAGGTAAAGCAAAGAGTATGGAACTAAAAAACTCAAAGGGAGAATGGCTATTAAGTTTTAGGATGGCTGGGAAATAAAATAATAATAATCATAATCATACTGGATATCGATGTGTGCTACATCAAGCCCTGGGTCATGTTCGGACTGATTCCTATTTGCTTTACTTTTCAGCAATGGGGTCTTTCACTTTTCAGGCTCTGCCTGAGAAACCAACATGGCGGCATTTGGCTAGGTTCTTTTAGGCCATTGAAAAACAAAACAAAACAAAACCCAATGAACACGCATAAATTCATTACTAATATGTTGGATCAGAGGTTGGCGGATTTATGGGCCTCAGGTCACATTCAGCCCACTCCCTGTTTTTGTAAATAAAACTTTATTGGATCTCAACCATGGCCATTTATTTACACATTATCTCTGCTCCTTTTTTTTTTTTTTTTTTTTGAGACGGAGTTTCGCTCTTGTTACCCAGGCTGGAGTACAATGGTGCGATCTCGGCTCACCGCAACCTCCGCCTCCTGGGTTCAAGCAATTCTCCTGCCTCAGCCTCCTGAGTAGCTGGGATTACAGGCACGCGCCACCATGCCCAGCTAATTTTTTGTATTTTTAGTAGAGACGGGGTTTCACCATGCTGACCAGGATGGACTTGATCTTTCGACCTCGTGATCCACCTGCCTCAGCCTCCCAAAGTACTGGGATTACAGGCTTGAGCCACCGCACCCGGCCTCCTTTCTTGTTACAACAGTAGAATTGAGTAGTTGCAACAGAGACCATATGACCCACAAAGCCAAAATGAGTATCTAATGATACTCAACTGTCTTAATTACATCATTTTGTAGTAATACTTGGTATCTGATTAGGCAAATACCTACTCCCCTCCGTGTTTCTTTACTTTGATTTTTTTAAATGTTAAGCCAACCTTGCATTTCTGAGTTAACTTAGTCATGATATCTTTTGTAAACATTAATAAATTTAGCATGATTGGCCAATACCTTTGCTTTCCTATATTGTCCTTGCCTGTTGGTACAAGGATTATATAATACCGAGAAAGTGAGTTGAGGACAGTTTTCTCTTTCCACAGGCTGGAATACTTTATGTACTATTGGAATTAATTGTTTCTTTAATACGTGGCAGAATTCACTATAAAGCCGCTTAATTCTAGACACTTTTGGAGGAAGATTTTTAAATACTGATTTTTAAAAATCATTATTTTATTTTTATAATGCAGCTTATTTTTTTCCAGAAACTTCTGCTTTTCATTTACATTTTCAAATCAGATTAAATTTGTTTTAATAACCCCTTATTATTGAAATCTCAGCAGCATGTGAAATTATGTTTCCTCTTTTTATTCATTTTTTCCTCAGATATTTTTCTGTTTAAATTTAA